TGCGGTATGCTTCGTTCAGTTACGTATTGCTATCTATTTCTTTTTGAGAATAAGGAGACGATATGGTCTCTGAAATATGGGTTGGTTTGTTTCTGACGTTTTGATTTCATGTTGTATTGTTTCTGTGCAGGATAATGTATCTCCTTCAAGAAAAATGTCTGAATATTCACTGCATAATCTTTCAATGGATTCTTTCTTCATTGTTCATGTGATCGCATCTAAGATTTTCTTTTAATAGTTGAATACGATTATTTGCATTTTTTGGAACTTCCTTACTTTGTGTGCATTTTATAGGTACTATTTCAAAAGTTTCATGAGATAGTTCGTTTAGATTTGGAATTTTCACAGTTTGTGGGTTTTCTGTTGGATTTAATACAGAAATGAGTAATTGATTTTGTTTTATTTCGTTTAAAACATTTCCACAGATTATATGTTCATTAATATTTTGGGCATGAATAAGAATATTTTGTGAATCAGTTGTAGGTTCGTTTAATATTCGTATAGGAATTATCGCTTCGCTTCTGGCTGGTATGGTTGTTGTGGCATTGTCAGGATAAGTTATTTCCTCCTGATCTACGTTGATGATGATTTTGTTTTCCTTTAGAAAAGGTTTACCCAAAATTCCATCCCCGTCAATTGGAAATGACGATGGTACCACATGAAATTCGGTTTCAAAAGTTTGGTTCTTATCTGAAATTATAAGTACAACACTACCCATAGTGCTGACTAAGCGGTCGTTTATTCCTTGTAACTGATAAATATTAGTATACGAAACTAGAACTTCGTCGTGCAATACGTCAAGTCGGATAAGGTTTAGTTTTGCGCCGGTATCTATTAGGAGTTTTGCACTTCCTGACGTACATTGTGAGGCTTGAAATATTGCATGGTCGTTATGTAATTTTATTGTAAATGGCAAGGTTCTTATTGTGTTTGGGCTATCATTTTTAAATCTTTGACCGAACGACTGCCCGAGGCATTCGGTCCCGATCCGTTTCCCGAATAATTTTGTTGATTTCCTTTATCACCTTCTTGTTGATTATTTTTTCTTTCATCCGCTCCTTTTTTTTTATAGCATTTTTCTATGGAATGACCAGCTTTTTTACAATATGCGCATGTCTCTTGCTTTGTATTTGAGTTTTTTTGTTTGCTGTTTTGCCCTGTGTCTATGCTACGATTTACATATCTACACTCATTCGTATTATGATTACTTTTTTGGCAGTTTTTGCAGTATTTGTTTGTGCTATTAGCGTTAGATTTATTTTGGAACAAACGTCGTGTTTCTTTATTTGATAAAAATATTTTTTCTTCTTCTAAGCTTACTTTCATAGCGTCTTCCAAAGTGGATGGGTTTCTAGATTTTATGATATTTTGGATGCTATCTGGTAATCCTTCAATATAAGTAGTTAAAGTAATTTCTTTGATATAGTCGTGCACTGCTTTAGCTTCTGATATTGTTCTTTTGCTTGTACTGACATTACACAGCTCATGTAATAATTTCTCGACTCTTGAAGAATATTCTTGAATAGTTTCTCCTGATTTAAATCGGGTTGTGGACAATTCTAGTTGAAGGTAACCTGGAGTTGTTTAGCGCAAAATGTAACTGATAATAACTCCCTAAGTGAGTCCCATGATTTGACTTCTCGATGTTGTGTTATCGCAAAAGCTTTACCTGCTAATTTTGTTAAAATTGCCTGCAAAAGAATAGGGCGACATTCTTCATCTACAGTCTTAATCACAAAGTCACATGCATCAAAGAATGGATATACATCCTGTGGATTTTCTCCATTAAACTGGGGTACGAGTCTTATAGCTGTTTCTAAAGAAAGTAATGTTTGTTTATTATTCGCCATTATGTTCGTTGGTTTTAAAATAGTGTTTTTATCGTTTAAGTCTATTAATGATATTTTATCAAGAAGATTTAGATTTGTATTTATATTTGTTTTATTTTGTAACCTAGTTAATGGTTTATTAGACGGATTATCGGGTACAACCGTTCGGTGGGGGACGAAATCAGGATCTAATTCAGTTGAATCAGAATTGCTACTCTCACTATCACTCGTATGAGTTGACATGCATTAATATTCTTATGTATATAAAAAAAAAAGTGATCGTAATAGTAATTTGTTAATGTTACGTTAAGGTTTCATAATAAATTAATAACTTACAGTAGGTAATACTAGTATAGTTCTTGTGCTTAACGTATACATGCTGTTTGTTGTTGTTATTGATTGATACGGCTGATTATCAGTGATAACTTATCACAATGTAAACACCGTAGCTGCTCTCGTGATGTTCCTGGACCTTAGATCATATACATATATGATCTAAGTCCTGGACGATCAGTACTCCCACTCCGTTGGTTTGACCCACTTAGATTTTCAGTCACTGTCAAGGATAACGACGGCGGCGTTGACGACGACAGCGACTCGTGACGGATGATGAGTAAACGTCACAATCGAAACGATTTTAATATCAATGTTATATCTCGATATTAACATATATCGATTTTTATATCGATGTTGATGATTGCAATGTCGCACTCAGGAATGTTGTTGACGTTGCGTAATACATTATACACAATGTATTATGCTACGTATAAAAACACCATAGCAATATAGCATGAATGATGTATAGAAAATAGACGTATATAATTATACGTATATTGTATAGATACGTATTTGTTACGTATATAATATTAAAATTTATATAAATTGACGACTGTATCACCTGAGTAAAAGACAGACTTTGTTGTGTTAGAATACTCCGAAAGGGTACCGCTGCCACCAGTTGTTTATACTCTTTCGGTTAAGGCCAAAAGGTATATGTATGTTGTAAAAGAGTTCGTTCACTTACGGGTTGTATTCAAAACACTACACAAAATCTGTTTAACTTTAAGAAATTATTTTATTAATAATTTTATTATAAGAATATTTTAACAACACAGTATTATGCGAATCGGCAACTTATTCACGACTAACTCTTGCTTATTCTACGTTCTTGTTTTAGCGACGTAGTCACTTGCAAAAAAAAAAATACACATATTGCTTACACTACTATATTATTGTATAATATGCTTAAATCCTTACTAATCTAAAATGTGTATGCAAGGGTTCCTAACAGGGTGTTATTAAGATTTTAGTTTTGTAAATGTATAATAGGTAGAGTATTTTGCATAAAAAATGGTTTTCTGTTTTTAAAATATACAGTAAAAAAAAAATTGAACATAGTGTTAATTAATCATTAAATATTGAGTATGTAATTAAGATTTTAATTTTGCAAATGTATTAAAGGAATGTATTTTGAATAAATAATGATGTTTTAATTTTTCAAAAATATGGAAACACATGTTAATCCATCTATATAATTCATCTTTTAAAAGAAGAATAGTAAGAATCTTTTGGTTTTGGTTTGAAGATAATCCATTGAATATTAAGTGTGTTATTAAGATTTTAATTTTGTAAATGTATAATAGGTATTGTATTTAGCATAAAAAAAATTGGTTTCCTGTTTTTAAAATAATCTGTAAAAAAAAAATTGAACTTGGTGTTAATTAATCATTAAATAGAAGGAAGAGATGAATCTTTTGGTATTGGTTTGAGGGTGATCCATTAAATATTAAATGTGTTATTAAGATTTTAGTTTTGTAAATGTATAATAGGTAGTGTATTTTGCATAAAAAAATTTGGTTTCCCGTTTTTAAAATACTCTGTAAAAAAAAAATTGAACTTAGTGTTAATTAATCATTAAATAGAAGGAAGAGATGAATTTTTTAGTTTTGGTTTGAAGATAATCCATTGAATATTGAGTGTGTAATTAAGATTTTAATTTTGTAAATTTATTAAAGTAATGTATTTTGCATAAATAATGTTTTTTTAATTTTTCAAAAATATGGAAACACATGTTAAACTTTATAATTCATCATTTAAAAGAAGAATAGTAAGAATCTTTTGGTTTTGGTTTGAAGGTGATCCATTGAATATTGAGTGTGTTATTAAGATTTTAATTTTGTAAATTTATAATAGGTAGTGTATTTTGCATAAAAAAATGGTTTTCTGTTTTTAAAATACTCTGTAAAAATAAAATTGAACTTAGTGTTAATTAATCATTAAATAGAAGGAAGAGATGAATTTTTTAGTATTGGTTTGAAGATAATCCATTGAATATTGAGTGTGTTATTTAGATTTTAGTTTTGTAAATTGTTTAAAGGAATGTATTTTGCATTAATAATGATGTTTTAATTTTTAGAAGCTCTTTGAAAAACATATTTGATTTGATGGTAATTAGTCATTAAACAGAAAGTAGTGACGGATCTTTTGTTTACAGTTTCAAGTTGATCCAATGAATATTAAATGTTTTATAAGTAATTTAACACAAAACTTTTGCTTATTCAAGGTAACTTTAATACAAAAAGAAGCTTAATACTATTATAACATGTTTGAAAAAAAATATTTGCAATTTACTTCACCTATTATATTATCTAATCGCCATTAAAATATTTATCTAGGACATTGTCGCGTTACCAAATTTTTTTGATCAGACATCTGTATGAACAAATTGAACATTACTGAAACAAAAAAAAAAACTTAACAACATAAAAATGTTGTTTTTTAAGATAATACTTACGAAAAGAATTGTCAATTATCTTAATTTTTAATGTAAAATCATTCACTGTGAGTCTCAATGAATACCTCGATTCTTTCCATTGACACAAGACTTTTATCTTAAAATAAATATAATAGTGAACACGAACTTTCTCACATTATATGAACTTTGATGAAAATCACAGACAGCTCACAGAAGTATACGATAACAAATTCCCCTTCTATAGGATATTTTTTTTCTAGCTAACCTAAACAAAAGAGCAGATTACATTCTATTATAACATCAAAACAATTTTTTAAACGTTTTAGTTTTGAAACGGTTTACGACTAATAGAAAACATTAGATTTCAACCGTATATTTTTTCTATTTGAAAAATAAATATCTTGTACATCAAAAGAAATAACACAAAATAAGCTTACCTCTATGGTTGGTCATTACAAATCTCGTTTCTAAATTAACTTTAACACTGCATATCAAAGTGTCTTGAAAAATTTATAAATATATGACACGTTTAAAATCCGTAATGATAAAATGCGTTTAATGGTTCAACTAAAAAAAAAAATAAATACAAATTTCATGTTAAAAAGACGTGAAGAAACGATAAAATGACTAATTTTTAAACTAAAATAGATTTATAGTTGATAATGATAGTAGGCCAGCATTGACTGTGTTTATTCTATAGTCGTGTAGTGGATACCAAAGTTTAGGAAATTAGAAAATAAAGTTTTCATTGTATCAACGAATAAAACATATTAAAAAGTGAGTTCCTTCAAAAACCATTGTCAATTACCTGATTTTGACATCATATAAAGGCATATAGGAAAATGGTAACACAGTATTAAAACTACTAATGACTGATATTTGATATTGTTATGTGAAAACTGTTTAAATACAAAATTAATTAGAATACATTAATTAAAATATATTAATACAAAACAATTAGAATAATTGTTGTGCTTTTGCTAAAATAAAACTAGTTATTTATCTCAGTGATAATATAATAATATTAAACAATCTATGCCAGTTAGTATAGATAAAAGAATTATGTCGTCTATGATAACAAGGTTTTTAAAACAAAATTATTTTTAAGTAAAGTCTTCTAGAATGAGAACTAAGAAGGAATAGTCGAATCTTTTTGTTTAGGTTTCAAGATGATCCAATGGATATTGAGGTTGTTATTAAGATTTTAGTTTCTTAAATGTATATTCTGCAGAATATTTACTATGAAAAATGGTATCTTGATTTTAGAAAACCCTTAAAAAGACATATTGAACTTGATGTTAATATATCTTTCAGTAGAAGGACGAGATGAATCTTTTGATTTAGGTTAGATTCAATGAATATTGTGTTACTAAGATTATAATTTTGTAAGTTTAGAACCATTGGTATTATTAGCATGGAAAATGGTTTTCTTTATTAAAGGTGTTCGATAAATGAGGTTTTGGATCTACGGACTTTCGAAAAATATGCCATTTGGAAATATTTCATTCGGTTATTTCCATTCGGAAAATAGACATTGGGAAAAAAAATGTTTTATATTTAGTAAGTAAAAAATGTAATGAAAAAATATTTAAAAATCCAAAAAAATGACTACTAATCGCTTTGCAGTAAATTGATCTGAATTTGTATCTGATATTGATAAATTAAAATAAACATTTGAAAATTAAAACTTTAAAGTATTACTTTTAGTGATTAAATGTATTTATGTATAATAATGCCATTAACAATTATTGACTTATTATTAAACTTAAATTTGAGAAATCATAATATGTGTATTCACTTTGGCTTTTTCATGATATTTAAATTTTTATGTGAGTATTATTACTAGGGACTAGATTTATATACAAATGCATATTATGTGTATTGGAATAAGCTTTTTGAAATTTGATGAGAATAGTCACCGATTTAGATTATTCTTATTAAAATACCACTATTAATATTGCATATTTAATGGTTTTACCTATTAAATTCATATTTAATTTTTGGGTGGCTGTGAGGAACAAGACGCGTGACTTTCTAGTATGCCGCCAACGATAAGGCTATCTAGTTCCTTGGGTAAGGTAGGGGTTTTTGATAATGCTACCAGCTCCTTTGGCTGAATTTAACATGTTTTTTCTTTAGTGAGTGTGGGCGCACCAGTCATTCGAACGACACCTCTCAACACCAGATACTGCGAACTACAACTGGACTAGACTGTTCAAAGAGTTAAACCAGTGTTTTAGATTCTGAACGGAGTAATGAATGTATTGATTTTACAATGATGTGTGTTTTTTTTTTTTATTTTTTTTTTTTGTGTCTATGCACAGCATAAGTATTAGAAATAATGCTTCAATTTCAAACTTCGGGGGTGGTTTTCGATGGCAAAGTGAATATCCTTGGTGCATTATGGAGGTAAAAAGTAAACATTTTCCAAATGTTTTCAAAAAAATCGAGAAGAACAAAAAAAAAAAAATGACGGAAAAACGGGAATTTTTACGCAAAACCAGTTTTCGACCAAATCAAATTTTTTATATGGTTGTAATTCAAAAATTAATCACTGTAAATACTTGAAATTGTCACCAAATGTTTATGTTAGTGTTATCTATACACAGTTTAATTTTCAAAAAGTTTCGACTTTTTTTGAGTTATTTATAGACCACTGAAATTATCGATTTTTATGAGAATTTTTTTTTTGAAGTGTCAATAAAAAAATGTTGAATGACCAAAAAATTTTGAAAATTTAATACAAGGTTCCTTATGAGTTGTTCTTATTGTAGCTAAAAAAAAAATTAAAAATCGTTAGTCAGAATTTTTTTTAGCACACGAAATAGATCACACGTGTTACGTCACATTGTCACAACTACGTATGAGTTCCTACATGGCTAAATAATGTAAATCGTTCCTTTAATCAGTGATTAATGGTGTTTATAGAGTTTTAAGGGTTTTCTGCGTGCGACGACTTGACTGTTATTTATTTTATTTAATAGTTAAGCAATATACAATCATGATATCATTACGAAATTTTATTTAAAAATTATCGAAAATTTATGATCACAATATTTTTTTATATACATTTAAAGTTAAAATTTTGACAAAGTTTATAAAAATCATGAAAATTAGTAAATTATTTTGTAGTTAGAAATTCATAAAAATGTTTGTTCTTGTACCTAAAATTTTAAAATTTAATATAGAATTCTTTATAAATTTTTCAATCCATATGTATGTAAAAAAAAAAATTCTACTGAAAAGCTGTAAAGCCAAATTAATTGTTTATGAGCATTTCTAATTAAAATTTAAACAAAGCGACTTATTTAAAGTCTTAAAGATAAATAACATGTTATTTATTTTATTATTATTTAAAAACGCAAGAATCTAATACTTATACGTATATATTTGTGAAAAATTTTACTATATGCAATGACATTTTTAATTTATTCTAAGATATTATAACTATTATAGTACTATATAGTATGAATCTATTTTTTTGTTGTTCAATATTTTCAAAACGACATTATTTAATTTTGAGTTATATAAATATTAAATTAATACAATATGATATAAATATTTTAAATCTATATTATTTAAATTATTTTAATAATTAAATACTAATAAGTAAAGATACAATAAATACAATATTTTCAGAACATTTTTTATCAATCTATCACAATATCTACTAAAAATAAAATAAACGACTATAAAAGTTATATCAAAAAAACATTCTATGAAAAATATAGGCTAACAGAGAAAAATAGTATACGTTATTGTTGTTTTTGAACATATGTGTACATAATTAGTAACAAATACAATTTAATTTAAAATTAATATTATTTACCTACGTAATTGGTATATATTATACGTATAATAATTAATCTGTATCATAATCTTAATATTGTTGTATAAGTATATTAATATTTATATACATTATTAAATACATTATTGGAATTATTGATATTTCATGGGAAGTTTTCTTCGCGGTGAAAAGTGCGGCGGTGAATCGTTATAGACCTCAATTTTTTTGTAGCTGGTTTTTACTCGACTATTATTGCTATAACTACGCACAAGGCGGATATGCAGTGAAAAACTGAGAAATATTCGGTATCTCAGTATTTAGTCATCATGAACTAACAGTTCGAATAATTGGAGAAGTCGGTTAACACTTAATAATAAAAAAAAATATTTATTAAGGGTAATATTTCATTATTGTTTTAATTTAATTAATAATCGATTAAAATTTGTATCTTATTTTATTTTATTCAAAAACGTGACTTAACGACTGATATACTGTATTTGTTAGTAATACTAACTAGGTCTAGGATTTATACGCCTTATTGCATATTAACGTGTATTTTTTTTACTACTTATGATTACTTAAATTGTTTGTAATGTTCATGAATCACTTCATATTAAGGTAAATGGTAGTTATTTTATTTGCATATTATTGCACATTTCAATTATTAACATGTAAAATGCATGTCTTATGAATTATTATATATCTTTGCTGTAGCGATTGATAAAATTGTCTAAATAACAATATGATAGTGATAATTTAAATAGTTAAATTAATATATTATGCTGCTACTGCTAAGAAAAAAAAATGAAAACTAATTGTCTATGTGTGAAATTATGATAGGGCCAAGTGTTTGCATACAGCGTTATTTTTCGGAGAATAGAGCTAAAAAGTTATAGAAGCTAAAATAGGCAAAATATGCATGAAAATAAACACAAAAAAATTATTATATAATTTGCATGAAAAAATGCTAAATATACAAAAATGAAATATTCAAATTTACAAAATGTTATTATGATAATATGCGCAAAAAAAAAAAAAAAAAAGGAAAAATAAATCTTATTAGTACTAAAAACATTCTTCTAAAAATATTGTAAGATAATTGTGTACAATAAATTTACTAACGAATAAATAGTAAATAGATTTGCGATTAGTCTATATCTTATCGACAATAAGATAGTATTTTGGCGTATCAGCATTCAGCATGATATTCATTAAAATGCACATAGTACTTACTGTTGTCGTTAAATTAATATTCGACTGCAACGATAACAATAAGAACATAAAATAATATTGAATTTTATACTCAATATTAATATTATTTAATATACATAGGCTAAGAAAAAAAAATGTATTAAATAATTTTTCTTAAAAATATTAATATTACGCTTAACATATATTTGAAAATCAATAAGATTTACACTTTTACCATAAAATATACATTTTAAACTCGCCGTAAATAGTTCGAATTTCTAGCTTGGTTTGTTATAAATCGAGAGCGTAATATTATTATAGAACAATATGCAATTCCCACTACTTCCAAACCTCAATGAAGACCAATTATCCGTTTGTCATAAAAAAATATAGAATTTCGTCCGTATTTACTGTTAGTAAATGATAATATATTAAAAGAACACACCAGGGAAATACATTTTGATACCAAATTCAACATAATACAATGAAAAGCAAGTTCAAAAACATAGTTTAATACGAGAGTTCAAACCTCATTCAGTTTGTTCTTCAATATTTTGTCCTCCGGTAGTCCGTTGGAGGTAAACAGTGGTATTCGAACCGGCTTGTTTTTCATATTGTTATTATGAACATGAAATCTATCGTCCTGTACGTGTACCAGACATCCAGTTTACCTAATGTATAATTGTACCAATCTTAGTGTTTTTGATTTTATGCTGAAGTTCTCACCGTTTCATAGACTACGACAACGGACAAAGACACTTTTCGTTGCTTATATCTGTTTTAACCTTCGTGCTAGTGATAAGAATAACGATCACGTTTTAATATGATAACAACACGTAAACGCCAAACGGATGATGAAATCGTAAGCTGTATTCGTCAAATACCTCGTTTTTGGTTCATTTTGTTCCTGTAAGTTTTTT